TGCAAGTGCTCCAGGCCAAGAAAAAGGGGGGCGATGACTCTTCATCAGTGATTTTGTAACTTCAGGTCCACAGTGTTTTCTCCAGCTGAAGTTGCTTAATGAACCTGGGCGGGCTGTAATTTCAGTTCGCTGAAAGTGACTATTTGCTAAAATAAATGAATCAAATCACTTTTTGGCTGCCCCCCAGACACCTGGAAAATCTGCTACTTAGACTGCCACGGCAAGTCTTCTGGTTCATAAGAACTTGACCTACGGCTTAACGCCTTTTTTTCCATAACATTGTGCAACTTTTACTCTGGCTAGTAGCTACATTGACTACCCTCTGGAGTGCATTCTGCAATTGTTTGGTTTCAGGCTCTCTCTTTGCAAAAAACATAAAAAATACTCCCTAGTAGCAGACCTGCTACAGGTATGAGCTCTGTAGCTCTGTGGTATGCAGTTCCTGGCTGGAGAGGCTTTTTTGCCAACGTGTGGTGCATGAACGCATTTGACAGCAGGCAATACAGACCGGGAGCTCTGGAATGGCAGAACCTCATGATCTGCACTTGGCCTTGCACTCCTTGGAAGAAACCATATCAGTGATCAGTCTCTTGCTCACTGCAAACAATTAAAAAAATTCAAAAGTGTTGGAAAGGATATTTAGAGGACACCTGGCCATTTCATTTGTGTCCAAAGGAAAATCAACATCGATGGTTTAAGCTAGGGCAAAGGTTCTATGGTGGATACCACATATATAACTGCAACACCTATTTCAAATTAACTTTTGATTCTTACTAAGAATAATGACCCTGTATCCCCCGCCTTCCTTTTGAAGAGTTAGACTCCAGTCCTCTCTCGTGTCTGGATCTCTTCCTTTACCCAGCTGCCTGGTTCTTGAGACCATCCATACCCATGCTTCAGCATCATTAAACCACCAGCAAGCAAATATCGGCTTGATAGCAGTCTCTGGACATCAATTTGTGAATAAGAGAGAGTTGATATGGAAAAGTTTTCTCCGGGTGAGGGATTACTGAAACAACTAGCTACTTAAGAACAGTGTCTCATGATCATGTTTTTCAGGATTTGCTCTTCTCTCACAACTTTTTAGAATATACTCTGGGAAGCCAGAAAACCTCAAACTTGTCTGAGCCAAATACATTTCAGATGCTTTTATAACTAAATTTTTGTGTTTTTCCAAAGCACATTTTGGAAAAGTTCAAATATCTGCACAGCCATATGAGCCACCTTAGTACCTGTGAGCTGGAAAACATTTCCTTATATATAGCTATATCTTCTGTACCAGTTTTCCACATACAGGCATACATTCAGCTGCCATAGGTGTAGATGTGAAGTTGAAATAATACCTCTAGGTGAACTGGCTTCTGCCTAAACACTTGGGACAGCAAACACAACCTTGTTTGACTAACTTTCATAATGGATACATGTAACACAATAGGAAGTTTTAATCTGGCAGTATGGCATTGCTGCTGACAGCAACGGGATGAGGTCCTGTCCTTCCGACCCAGTTTAGCTGGTCTCTTCTGTGCCCATCACAAGCTAGCTTTTTCCCTTTCACCTCGAGTCCCAAAAGCGGCTGGAAAACACCATCACCCAAAATGATCATAGCCAAGAAATGGCACGGGTCACTGTGGGAAGACTAGAGGGATACTTCCTAATCATGTTGTATTTCAACAGTGAGACATATCATACATATATTGTATTTTTTTACGTCTGCATGCTTTGTAGCGATCTTAACTGCTGTTTTAGAAACTGACTCAACTGGGGACTTGTAGACGCCTTGGTATTTGCAGTGGTGCTATTCATTTTTTGTTCTGTCCAGTAATACAATGTTTTCAGTTGTTTCTTCACCTGAATCATCAAGATAAAGCATTTTCATGCGGCTATCAGGTTTGCAGCCTCCTGGGGCCCATGGGCTCAGGCACTATAGGACGCACAGCTGTGGCTGATATGAGAAGGATTTGCAGAGCTAGTGTAAGGCAACACTGCAACAGTCACAAGTGGCCCCTCTTTAGCTCCACCACATCGTACTTCGATTACTCAAAGCGTTTCTCTACCTTACTGTGCGCAATAGCTTTTGCTGTGGTACAATAGGAACAGCAGAGCCTCAAAAAGCTGTGTGGAACTAAGGGGCCAGCCGGTTCTGCACTCCCTCACTTGGCTTTATCAGTGGAAATTCCTTCCTTGCTGATCGAATGACCGAGGGAAAATTATCTCTTTTTAAAACAGTTCACATTTCTTTGGATTCAGTTTCAAATTGGCATTCTTAAGCTTATCACAGACCATTTGTAAATGCTCTAGTTCCTGACCGAAAGATTTAGCATGTACCAGATTTGTTATCCGTCTAGGACAGACAGTCTGAAAGAGGCACATGCCATACAGTACATTGTCCATGAACCATTTAAAGGTAGCAAGAGCACTGCATAATCTATAGAACATTATTTAAAATTGACAGAACCTTTACCCTACTGTAAAAGCAGCCTTCTTCTAGGGTTTTTGGATTCACTTCCATATTCACCTACCCAATTAAGATCAGTGTAGAAATCCAGATAACCTTTCTGTAGCATCAAAAGTATCCAAGTACTAGTCAAATATCTCTCTGATCCAGTGTTGCTCAGGCACAAAAGCTGCACACGGTCCCATCTTCCTGAACAGAGCGAGAATTAAATGACAGGAAGCAATTGCTTGGTTCACTACTTAAATCCCTTTCTCTCTTCCATTCACTCAGGGTCATGAACCTAGTAGTTGTTCAGGCTTCTCTTTGGCTTCTTGCTCTCTCTTTGCCTTAGTGGTATTTTTCTGTTGTCTCTCTCTGATTGACCCTTTTTCATTTTTTTCTACTACAGCGATACACGATGCTACCAATATGTGCCCTGTCTTGAACAGTGATATGTCTGTGTGTTTTGAATGAAGGCTGCTTTTGATGTAGCTTTCCAGCACCATAGAAAAGCTTCATTACTTCTTACATTTTCCTTGATGAAAGCTGACTACTGTAGCCAACAACATTGGCCAGCCTAATCCCACTCACTGGTAGTAGGGGCTATGTGTAACAAAGGATAGAAATCTCTTAAAGTAACTACTTAATCTTGAGTCCTTCCCACAGTACTCATGCTTTTCATTCTACAGCACAGTGTGGCAGAAGCCTATGGATAGTTAGAGAATCAGTTCTTTCTGCCAAATTTCATTAAATCTTCTCTGAAAGGGAAAAGAGCTGAGCTATGTGCTTGAACATCTTCATATCAGTTTTGCATTGTTGCACATAATGGCCAGCTGGAGTTAAAAACTTTCAACTAAAACATACAGCACTGGCAGCGCACAGAAATTTTTTCGGAGCTGCTCATACTACTGTATAGTCACAGTGATACAACACATTGATAGTATTACAGTGTGGTGCTACCAAACCAGTTTGTGACCTTGAAACTAAGAGAGTTGTTTTTTGGCTTCTACTTCTTCAATTCACTCATCAAAACTGTAAAACTGTGAAGGCGAATTGGCATGTGTCCTACTGAGCAGGCAGCTGCTGAAGGACAGACTGCTCCCCATGTGCTGAGCTGCTGGTAGTTTGGGTGTGGGCGGCTGCTTCACTTTCCCTGTCCTCTGTGTGTGAACCTGAGCAAGAAGAAGAACTGGAAGAAATTGCCTGGCCCTTTGCCACCTCTTTACCTTAAAAAGCAGCTGGTATCTGTAGCAAGTTGTAACTACTGTTAGTCAAAATCCTGCCATGTTTTGTTTGCAGGAGGCAAATGACTGACATGTTCCTTTGACAGGGCAACTGACTTGGTCACCAGATTTGTCTGGGCTTGTTGTAGCTATTTGGGTATCTAGGGAGAGGCTCAAAACAGTACCAGTCCTGAATCTCCTGGGGGAGTGGGGTAAAGTGTTTCCACCTGGGACTATATGAGCTTCTCTGGAGCCCTCTGTGCCCTACCAAGTCCCAGAGGCAGGCAGAGCTTGTAGTCCAGGATTTCTGAACATTAGAACCATCTCCTCAACATCTCTAGCTTTCCCTTTGAATAGCATTGCAGGACGAAGGGAAGAGAAGTGCTTTTCCATGCTTCTGTCCTCCCATCCCGCTGCAGAGTTTCCTGACATCTGTGCCTAATATCTCCCAGGGCTACCTACTGTGAGGTGCTCTGGGGTCCTGCTCCCAGGGAGTCCAGACAGAGACTGGCTCTAGCTGGTTCCCTTCTGTTGTGCCTTTCCTCTCAGGAGATGAGGGAGAAGGCAAGAAGAATGGTGCTGATGCTCATGTCTGCTGCCTGTAAGGTGTCAGGACACAGCACATGGAAACCTGGGAGCTCCAAGGCACCCCAGCTCACAGCATGGGAGGGGCAGGCAGAGCGGTCCCACTGCCTTCTCCAGCATCATAGTGGCACAGGGACTTGGGACTGAGAGTCGTTTCTTTGCTGCCTGTACTTCTACAGTAGACTGAATTGCAGCAGTGGGACTCATCTGCCCCCTCTGCCTCAATTTGCCTTTTTTTTTTTTTTTTATTTTCTCAGAGTAGGGAATAGCTTTTTCCCCCACAAAAGTCACTGAAGCTATATGGATGGCATAGCTGGGCTATGTAACAGCTGCTTTTCTATAAGCCAGGCAGTTTTACAACTTTATTAGAAAGAGACAGAGATTTCCAGGTAGATTTTTTAATTTTATTTTTCCCTAAGAAAACAGACAGCAAGTACTGTACGTCTTGTTTGCAGTGACAGCTGCTACAAGGTCTTCTTTTGAGAAGATTTAGAAGTAGGACAAAAATAACCAAGACAACCTCTACCCCAAGCTACAGAATCCCAACAAATAACATTGAAAAAGAAGCTGATAATATTGATCCCTTGTGTACTGGTACTTAAATGTCAAAAATCAATGGAGAGAGAAGCTTAACTGGCCTTTCTGTAGTATCAGAATGCAAAGCTAAATCCCAAATGTAGGATTTTTACGGCTATAAATATAGGGGACAATTTTCAGACAATGTTAAAATTACCACATAATTCCCTTTCCTTCAGAAGAAAGCTCCTATGAGGTGCACTTGGAAAGGAATCCCTGAGTGTACTAGATATACTTCTGTGCTAACCAAGAAGTAGCTTTTCAGAGTGGTATGTGGAAGGAGTGAGACCAGCTTGATCAGCGAGGACCCCAGTTCTGCCATCATTTCTGTCTTGAGTAACTTTAAACATTTGTCCTGTTTGTTCAGGCAGATTAATCTCTCAAAAAATAAAGCTATTCCTGCACACAAGTGCTGGCAGGATCAGGGAGCAGCAACTACACAAATATTGCTCTGGCAGTGGTCTCCTGAGTGTTTGTAGAAAAATATTAGGCTTTGGTCCTCTAAGGTACCTACATGAGAAATCCACGTTGCTAAATATCTCAGAGGATCTGAGTACCCAAAATGAGTGTCTGGTATTTTTAACAAAGTAAGACTTTAAGGGCCTGGCCGTGGATCTAGCCACTGTCGTATAACCTCCTTATTTACTTTCAGCCATTCAATGTTGGTCTTCACCTGCTCAATTGACTGACTCCTGGGCAATTCTCCTGCCCCAGCGTTAGGATATTTCTCAAAGAAATTTTGCATCTGGAAAAGAAGAGAGAAAAAATAATTGACATAAAGCAAATAATGCTGCTATTGGACAAGTGGCTTTTTACAGTGACTTGGTCAAGGGCAGTTTTGGCTGCCCTTAAGCTCAGGCTAGTAGCACTGGGATAGTTTTACAGTAACTCATACTGCTTTACACATTTAGAGGATTAAAAAGTCAAGTTTCCTGGCCAGTAGATTGTTAAATATATTTACTTAAAACGGAGAGAAGTGCTGTCACCATACCTGCCAAAGCTGGAGCTCAGTGTTGAAGGTTTGGGTAATAGTTACTATTCGACCAAGGTTTCTGTCATTGATAGTGAATCTAGAAAACAATTTAATAAAAGATGCTTGACGCAAAACTGTTAAAAAAGAAAAGGCACAAGTAATTATCTGAAGCTTAAACTTCTAACTGTGCTACAATAAAACAGACACTCAGATTTCAGCGGTTTTGGAAATACTGGGAAAATAGTACTCCTATACAATATCTCTGCTGATCTCAAATATGTTTACTAATGGAGTGGTCTCTTCTGGGGGATATTTTTTTTTTTAAGTTAATGACGTCTTGTCTCATGCTGGAAATCAGGTGTATTGCTGCTCAGCAATGGAAATACTGTCCAGTTCACAGCTCTAGGCTTGCAAGTGTGCTTTGCTTCCGTGCCTTAACCAAGCACTTAGAAAGGAGAAGGAAGGAGAGAAAAGCCACTCAAATAGGGAGGAGCAAAGCTAAAAGGTTTGCTATTACTTCCATGGCTCATCTGTAGGTCTGCTGCTTGCTGTTACCATTAGAAGGAATAAAAAAAAAAATTCTATACACTGTCTTCTTGTTATGAAAACAATGGAAAGAGGGGAGACATGACTGACTAATCATTTATTGGTAGTGATCATTAAGGGAAAGAATGGATTTCAAATTAGCAGCAAAGTACTTTCTCACAGCAGATGGATCGGATCTAATTGTGTTGAATATGCTTTCAGCTTTCATTATGCAAAGGCCGGTGATTATAGCTGTATAGTGAAAATATAGAAAAGCATAGCATATAAAAAGATATACAAATGGATGTAGACCTAAAGTTTCTAATGAGGTCATTAGCATACCTGTCCACTAAGTACTGCCAGTTAAGTCGTATCCAGTCCCAGGCCATTGTTTTCCCATAGGTGTTATATGAGATGTATCTCAGGACTGTGAACACATCTTGGGTTTTGATGAGGCTGGTGTTGTAAATATATTTCAGGTACCTGAGGGAAATGCCATAAGAATCAATGAGCACCTATCATGAAAGACCATGGAAGGCAAATAATAAGTTAACACTTTCAGTGTAGAGTTAAGTGATGACAATGAGAAATAATGCAAAGCCAATGTCTGTATTTCTCAAGTATTTGCCACCAGAGTCTACAGCCCATTTCCAAGCAAAAATATTATTTTTGTCTACAGCATTTTACAGGTGAAGTACACTGATCTAAACCATAAGTATCTGTTGATAATTGTGTCAAGAGATAATTGTATTGAAAGAAATCTAAGCAGTTAGGCACCTCTTTTGAAAGTAAGTAGGGTTTATGTCTCTAAGTTATTTGAAAATAGCCAAAACCTTTTAGTATTTCTATATTTCAATGAAGTAGTGAAAACAAGATCGGAATAGTCAGTAGTCCAGTCTGTTGGGTAGCCAAGTGCCAAAAAAAGTAGTAGTTCAGGCTGTAAAGATCTTATAGGGACCATGAGTACACACGCAGGTGGCTTGCTTACACTGAAACATGTGCTGTTTGTTCTGAAACTCTCACCGATATAAAATTAAAATTCATTTAGGCATAGCATGCCTGCAAGTGCTGCAGTTATACTTCCAGTTACAGCACAAATACTTTTGAATGACAGAGTGGAGGGATCCCTCAGCACGCATGTTTGCAGGGACATGAGTAGTGTGGTCGTGGCTTTACAGCAGCAACTGCAGAAGAACACCCTTAAGCTGTTGTGTGCTGGGATTAAGGATTGTCTTCTTTTTTCTTATATGTAAGGGACAATTTTCTCAATCTGTTTGCTCTTTCTCCCTTCCTTGTTATTTTAATAGTATATTAAGAGACAAGTTCTCCCTGCTTTAGGGGGGATTTTTTTATTTTCTGCAAATATAGGCTGATCTAGCTAATTAATTCATGCCTTAATCATGCCAGTGATTAGTTATTGAATGGCTTTAGATTATGGCTGTTGTGGTCACAAGAATTTAGGAATACAGCTGTCTCCTACCACTATTTTAAATACTCTAACTCTTATACTTATTCTTCCTGAACCTCCTATACTTCCATGTTTCATCTTGTTTAAACTTGGAAATCATCCAGGCAGAGACTGCTCCGTCTTATGATATTTAGATAGGGCTCTAACAAAGCGGTGAGCAGCCCTGGTGAAGATGTTTGCCCGCATCTCTGCCACATGATACAACTACATGCAAGGTTATTAGACGAGCTTGAAGGAGCCGGTATGTCTGTGCAGAGTGACAGCCTGGGGAGATGCTCACCCAGTCTGACAGCTGGACCAGCTTGGGGCAGTATCCAGACTCCTCGTCACTGCAATGGTGGCATGAGTCCATAATTTCTGGTTCTAGCTCAATACCTCTGCAGAGCACTTCAGGGGGCATTGCAACTTCACATGGATGCCTTCTTAGGACTGTTAGTAACAATTGTTCAGAGCTGTTTGCCTAATTTTGGCTACTTAGAAGGTACACCTCTAGTCTAAGCAAACTCCCTCTGTAGCCAATGGAGGGTGACTGTCAACACCCAAAAGCAACTTTTCTCATTGATTTTAAGTCCCGTTCCTGGTCTGGGATAAACAGTGCTCTGGAGGTCCTGCCTCCCTTCACTGATTATAGAGGAAACATAGGTGACTAATTTTCTCCTGAAGCTTAACTGTTAGGCAGTTAAAATTATACAGGGTGAAGGCACTGTGCAGAAACTGCCACGTGTTTAGTTTTTTTCCACTAAAGGAACAAGGCTTTTTTTCTACTATAGTACAATCTCAAAGACGGGGTGTTAGATAAGGGGTCTTGAAAATGTGTTGCATTCCTCATGCTGTAGTCTGACAAAAATGACAACACAGGATAGAGGAGAGGGGAATGAACAAACTGTGACCAGCTGCTTCTGTACTGAAAAAAAATAATTTGTGTGTTTAAATCACCTGTCCAAAAGGGTGATGTTCTTCACTGATGCCAGGCCATACAGCAGCTTTTCTTTTTCTTGTGCTAGTGAAGTTTCTTGGTATTTCTCGAACATGTAATTCCATGATGACTCGTTGCCTGAGTTCTGCATCCCATAGCGATATACCAGGAGTCTGAGATTTGCAGGAATACTAAAATAAAGAAACAATACTTTAATATTCTTTCCCCTTTCCTGCTTGAGATCTGTGACTAAGTCACATGCTGTGTTCTTCACCAGCCACAAAAGCCGTGAACACTCACGTTTGTCCTTGTAGCCATTGCTCAAATAGTTGAGAAGCGTTGTTCAAAGATTCTATGTCACCCATACTGCAGGCAAAGTCTAGAACAGACCCACGAAGAAGCCTTTGAAAGAGAGAGAGAGAGGGGGAGAGAGAGATACTTTCCTACTGCTTAGTGTTATTTGAATCCATGAATAATATGAGAAGGAAAAAAAAAAGTCAACCTTTTTAAATGGCTTCCAGAATCATTCCACTGCAGTTGATCCACAATGGGTTTTACCCGGTCACGAAAATATTCCTGAGGTAGAAAAAGGGGGTTGGTTACTTGTGTAGATTTCTTTAAATAATAATATATTTTTGTTCATAGTTTATTCTCCTTAATTTTTTCCAGAACTAGCATCTCTTAAATAAAAAGCCACACAAACGTGCACACACACAGTCTTTCCAGATCACCGCAGCACGCCAAGTCTGAATGCTTGCAATACTGATGCGCAGGTAGGACAAAGGCAACCTGCTTCTCTCCAGCCTTGTCTGTGCTCCCAAATGAAGGTTGGGGTACAGCAAGGACACACTGCCACAACGCTTTTCCAAAGATAATGCTGAGTTCAGGAAATACTTATTTTAGTGACCATTAAATCATGTTCAGCATGTTAGGTCAACTAACAAGCCTGCTCACTGCCACATTGAGATATAGCCATCCTTTGTACTAAGGACAGGTGTCGGAGATTTTGCTGCCCTATACATACTTTATTGGATGCAGGACAGCCTTGACTAGAGATTTTGCTGCCCTATACATACTTCTTTATTGGATGCAGGACAGCCTTGACTACCAAATGTCTGCACTGTGACTTATGGTGATGGATTATAAGAATAATTAGGCATAAATTCTTTCCTCCACGTGCGTAGTGCTGAATTGAGAATCCAGGTAATTCAGAGATCAGTACTAGGCAGTTTTAAGCACTGTTTTTTAAAGAGTACAGTAATGAAAAGTAAATACTGGTAGCTCAGCAACACTAAAAATCACTTGAACTTCAATATTATTACTGTTACAGATCCTGAACTGTCAGATCCAGTGCTCCCATGCAGGAATGTTTTTTTGCTTCATCACCTGAAACTGGGGATAGAGTTGTGTATCATCTTCAAGCATGTTTGCGAGGTAAGTTACAGATGAGATAACTCTATGCCAAGGTAAATAGTCTGTTTCTTTTGTTAGGTATTTTGTGAGCTCCAGGGGAACAGAGTAATTCACGAGTCCAGCTCTATGGAAGGAGAAAACATAACTTCTGTTATTTTAATTAGTTTGAAAAACTTGCTTCTCTAAAGATATTAGAACACTGTTTACTTTAGAAGGTCTGAAATAATAAATTTTGGGAGGGGGAAAATAGTCTGTGGAATGTAACCTGGGAGGTGTTTTCCAAAGAGACCACTGAGGAACACTGTCGATTGACACCTAACCACAGGAGCTCTCACTGCCACGAGGAGGCTGCTCACACTGTGCAGCAGCCCAGTGTACCCAGAAGTGGGTAGCCCTCAATTCCTGTCACGCAAAAAGGAATTGCTAGTCCTGGAGGCATCCTGAAAGGCCGAGGAGACTGAGACATACGGTCTGTCACAGGAGGTCACCTAAAGTTTATCTGTGTCAGCATGGCTGAGTACAAGAGCTAGAAGTTTCCAATTAAGTTTCTAAACAAGACAGCCAAGGTGATAACTTCCTAATGCCATGCTGTGCATTGTAGGCATGCCTTTGATTTTCTGAACACCTAACTTCTTCTGGAGTGCTTCTATTATTGTTACCTACATGGCAAAAACACCCCTTTGTAAGACTTGTGCAATTAAAGCCCTCTTTTTTCTGCCACTGAACTGAAGGGTAGCATTTCTCTTGACTGCATTGGTACTGCAAGGATTAGGTACTAGTACTAGCAAAGTACTCCAATGCATACTTGAATTTGCCCCTTTTGGAGGACAACAGAAGCCAATAAGCAATTAAGACTTATAACAAATTTAGAATTTTTATTTCAACCACCTGAGTTGAGTTAATTCTAATTAACAGGCAACGGAAAGTGAAAAACTTGTGTTTAAATCTCTGCAGGGAATTAATTTACCTTGCTAAAGAAAAGGCATCATCCAAAATCCCTGCACGGTCAGCAGCTGAAAGATTCTGTGTGAAAAGAGGAAAAGATTGATCAAGAATTTAGAGACTATTTGCAGGAAAAACAGGCTCTACAGACCTCTGTAAGAGACCCACCATACAGGTTAATGTTATGACACTCACTGTGTGATTGCTGACCAGAAGAACGATTAACGTGGACCAGCTTTCAGTGTCATAATTCACCCGATAGAATCCAATGTGGTCTGGATTAATGTTCACAAAAGTGTTAGGAGATGACGGTATTAGAATTCCTGCAAAACAAACAAACAGTGATTGGTTTGTGCATCTTACATGACACAGAACTCACTGGAGATTCCTTGACTCCAAAAGTAATATTTGGTTTTAATGAATACCAAAATAAGATCCAAACCTTCATTTTCTTTATTTATTTTTTAAATGGCTGTCAGTAAAGATGCGTTATTATAGACTTTAATGAATGCCAGCACTTGTCTTGGAATAGTGAATTGTGGTAATTACTTGGACCAGCTAGTTTGTTAAATTTAAAATGGTGATCATTATGATTAGGGTGAGGATGATGAAAATTAATGCCATGGTTAAACGCAAAAAATTGCAAAGAAACAGTTCTTGCAAACATCTCTTTTAAAAGATTTTTCACCGTCATGATTACTATTAGTTTTGAAGTTCTCATATTTTATCCTCCGTTCATTTCATTTTTCAGTTTATTTCAACTAACATTTTAAGGGTTTTCTTCCCTGTACTCTTCTCTGATTGAATTTTTGTAGCTGTGGATAAAGGAATTACAAAATAGGATGAGACTTTACTCAAGCACTCATGTTTAAGGAGTTTCCCATTTAAAATGAATCCTTGAAAAATGTCCTTTTCTCAGAAGCTTGACTTGGTCCAGTTGGTGCTTCTAGTTATGAAAGTTTTTCTATTGCCCATTGAAAGCAGTGGTTTTCAAGCTGTGGTTCGAGGCTGGCTGGAGTTAAAAGCACTTTTCTGTTTGGATGACACATACAAGGTATTTCAAAAGGCTTTTTTTCCTTGTTGCTGTTGCCTTACTAGATAAGATTTTTATGGATGTAGAAGTAAGCACCTAATCATGTCTTCGTATGCTTTGTTAAGTTAATAGCCCCTCGCAGCCCACCATGATGTCATGTGGAAGTTAGAGGAGGAAAATTTCTTTGTGTTAATCTTGAACTTGTATCATGACATAAGACTTTTTTGTTTGTTTTTGCATGGATACTAAAAGCAACCAGGTTAAAAAAAAAAGCGCAGAACAAAAGACAAATTACATTTTAAAGATCTAACAAGTACAAGAAGAGAAGAGCTGATTGTGAAATTCTGAAATTCCAGCATGTGATGAAATTTAAACAGTCTGTAATGTTTTTTCTCTTCCTGCCCTGCCCCCTCCCCCCTTTTGGTCACTAGAGTTGTAGAATGAGAAATTCGGATTTGACTGCATAATAGAACAATCATCAAAAATACCCACGTAGGTATTTCCTCATTCCTGAAATCAGCATTACAAGATGTTGTTAATCATTTGTAGCTCTTTCTTTTTAAACTGAACTCAGATTGCCAGTTTGCCATGCCACAGAGGCATTCATCATCCTCACACTTCACGTCTTTTCTTAGACTCAACAAAAGGCCATATCTAAGTCCCATTGATTTTAGTACATCATAATTAAGATTACGCTTAGATACTTCCTTGAATAGGTCTGGATTTAAACACATGTTTAAGTACCTTATTGAATTTGGTCTAAGTTGACATAATGTATATGTAGGGGAAATAATCACCTTATTGCAAAAATGACCACTAACTTCAGCACAACCAAGCTGTGTGCTGGTTTGTGGATCTGAAAAGCATGAAAATGAATTCTGTATTTTATTTTTTGTTAAGAACATTGAAAAGCTTTATCCATTCATTACTCTTGAAAGAGAAGGGGAAGTTTACCTTCAGGTTCTGATGTGTTGTAGAAAGTATAATCATCTGTTGAATTCCCAAGTCTCCATTTCACTGGTATATTCCATTTTTAACTGAAATTATTTAAAGGGAAAGACAATCAAATGACATTTGAAACCAAATGCTAAAAATAAAACTCCAATATATCTTTTTGTTTGGTTTAATGTTTACATCTTGTTTTCTGAAGCCAACTGTGCTTATGTACCTATACATATATATTTATGTATCTATACATATATATATTTACCAAATATCCCTTGTAACAAAACATAGCATTTTACTAATAGCTGTTGTTTATGTTGTAAAGATGTTCCTTTGCTATGATAGTCTATTCAGGCAACAAAATGTCAACAAATGTCAAAATGGCAAGAAAATGTGAACAAAATTGGTGTGGTATGGTTGGGACAGTTATATTCCCTGAAAAGCAAAATAAAAGGCATGAAGTGTCTGAGTATGTTCATGCTGTAGAGATGGGGAATAGGAGTAGATTGTCATCAATGATCAATAGTTCTCAAAATGCATCTGGTGGACTGACCAAGGTAGTGGAGCAAGATTTTGTCCAGTGTCCGATGTTGATGTATTAGTCAAGTTAATATGGTACTGTGTTAATTATGTGCCTGAAGTTAGGTCTGAAAGCTGCACAATTTATCTGGTTCTTTTTTTGTTTGTTTGTTTTTGGAAAATCAATGGAACTGCTAGGGCCATGTCCTTCAAAATGCAATCTTCAACTCTTGGTGACTCCGTATGTTGGAGAGGGCAATAATTACCCATAATCAGAGAGAGATCACGTGAATGAATTTTCATTGTGCTATACTGTGTAGCTTATTACCACAGCTCTGGAACATGCAGCCCCACCAAGAAGTATCTTCATGTCATGTCTGATAATAGTCTAGCAGGGTACAAAGCAATTAATTTAGTAAAAGATGATTATATGTGGATGGTTGGTGTCAGTGTTAATGTTGATGTGTCTGGGGCTTTGTGCAGACACTGGTTAATCTTTGCAACGCTGACTTGAAATACATGAAACTTATCATGAAACATTTTTTACATATGGGAAAACTGAAAGACCTTAAGCAACCGCTGCCATACAGTCAATAGGACCTCTTGCCTTTTCCAGCCTCTTTTCTTTCTCCAAGACAACCCTAATTCCTCCATTATAAAGCGCTGGGAGCCAGGAGCAACATGTAACCTTACCTCTTGGTCTTCAATTCCTTGAATACCTTCAGTGGGTAGGTACAGGCTCCTCAGTCTGAGGAGCGCACAGGATGAAGCTGAGACATTTTGGCTGGAAGGGAGCCACAGCACAGCCTGACCAAGGCCATGACCAGGCAGCCAGGGAAGTAGGACGGCAAAGCATGCAGTGAGCATACATGCAAAGCCACCTGCATAGGGCTGCTAAAATTATTAAGCCCTTCTGAGCAGTCAACTGCTGTTCCGTGTTAGCATGTTGCAGTCTGTTCCAGGGAGATTTTTCTTCCATCTTAAATCCCTGGGTGACCAGCACTACAGGAAAACCTGCATTATATTTACAACCCTGAATTAAGTGAATGGTCCTTAACTTACAGGAAATACCAAAATGAAGGCTATGGTATCTCCTGCTGCCTCCAGGAAGAAAGATCAGCTATTGGTTTGTATCTTCTAAACAAAAATATCTTAATATATTTGTACACTTCCAGTTTTCACTAGTTCTTTTACAGAGTTTACTGCAGTGGAATTTAGAGAGGTTATTGTTTGGCCAGAAGCCCCAGCATTGTATTTCTCCAAGAGAAAGCCCATAAATGATTTAAAAAAAACCCAACAAACAACCAAAAAACCACACAGGTTTTGTAAATGTGTTTAATGAGGGGAATTTTATTTAGTTTTCTTTATATGTTCCTGAGATTACTTTTTCTGAGCATAAGATACAATAGCTGTATCCTGTTAACTGTGCATATTGAGGATGTGCTCCTTACATGCTATGCTGTAGCTACATATTTGAAGAGCACAAGTTATTGAACTTCCATTTCTTTTGAGTGCTGCTGTGCAGGAGGGGACTCTTTCAAGCCAAACAAGACAGAAACAAGCAGGCAGCTCAAGAGGCTATCCCTGCAGGGTTCAGAGAATAAAGCATACACAAGGCCTGGAGTATTCACTGCTTAAATCAACACCCCCTTCCCC